TGTGTGTGTGTGCATGTTAATGCCACACAGTCGAGCTATGGTCAGGCTGTGGGAAGGCGGAGGGCAGCGTGTCAGCTGGTGTCAGTGTGGGATGCTGAAGGAGATGATTCTGGGTGACATCTGACTGCTGAGTCGCTCAAATTTAACAGACACACAACACAATCACACCAATATACCACACAAATGATACACTGTATCAACACACCAAGGCTCGAATACACAAGAGCATGAATGACTCAAACACACATACACATCCATGAGCATCATGTGCAGAAATCTGTGCATGCACACAATACAGATTTTAGTAAATGGACAGTTTTTATCCAAAGTATGTTTTACTTCTCATTCACCCGTTAACTCACCATTCACACAGATGGTCGCAGTACAGCACCACGCCAGGTGCTGGTCTAACCACTGGGAGCAATGGGGTTCATGTTCCTGCTTTAAAGAGACAGTTCTCTCTATTTTTCAGGAACTATCCCTTTAAGGCATTTTTGCAAGCTCGGAATTAAACCTCCAACCTTGTGATTACAACCCACTCTACTACTGAGCCTTATGATACGGGATCATGCAGTGAGTTCAACTTTGTCTCAATGTCATTCAGTTACCTGAGGTGGACAATGACACTCCTTAATGACCAGGATAACAGAGCTGGTAATTAAATTGGTCAATTAATTCTAACTGAAAAGAACTAATAATTACAACCTTAAGTATAAAAATGAATAGGGTGCTGAGAGCTTTCTCTTGGAAAGAAACAAAATGTCAATGTTTCTGACCAAACTCATTTTGTCCTTAAGACTTAAGAATGCATTTTCTTTTTTAAATTAAAAAAAAAAATGAACATCCATATTTGCTCTCTAACTCTTATTCCTCTCTGCCTTTGTTGCCACATTTTATCGTAATTCAACTTTTCTGGCTTTGTGATACAAACCACAAAACCTTATCTATAACCTTAAACATGGCCAGTTCACACATAACGCGAACCTTCACCTAACCACTGCTAACATCTGAACCCTAACCTTAACCAGGAAAAAAGATTTTTGGCCTCATTAGACCAGGCATTGGTCCCCTTGGCCCCCAAGTTTGTTGGAAAAGGTCCTTGAGAGGCAACGAAAAAGTGTACACACACACAAACACACGCACACACACACACACAGACATGCAAAGCTCCAAAACCTCTAACATGCATGCAACATGCACATTCACTGCATTTACACAGAATGTAGGATTCATAAGTGTCCACATAAATTAACATACAGGGAACTCAAACACATTACACGTGCATCGGTGCAGAAACATCATCTCCCGCTAAAAAACAATAACATAAAATAGAAAATCTCCTCCTGCGCCTGGATCTCTTGCTGACAGGGGACAATAAATTGCGGACTGCCTAGCCCTGCTATTTGGCACTCAGCGTGTCAGCACTTGTCCACATGCACACAGAGTGCCACAGCTGATCACTGGCAGCACCACCCACGGCCCGTCCTGCAGCCGGCTGCCACTGACGTGTGCCCATACACAGTCTGACTGTCTGACCAAAGTGTCTGTGCGACCACAACAGGCCTGAGAGCTGAGTCATCCCCAGTCCACTGTCACTTCTCTTTATCTGGTTATGTGCTAAGATCTTTATTTGATCCATTCACTGTTTATACATCTCTTTAGTTACCCTCCTATCTACCCAGCTGCTTGTTTTCCTTCTATCTCATCTAATATTTTACTGCTGTGTGGTAACATTTAACAAAAGTAGTGTAGATCCATGCTCCCTATATATAACATATAACATCAAAATCAAACACTGACTGGAAACATCATGTTTTACCAACTTCCTCATGCCACTTTCACAAATGAATTTTCTAAACAAGAAAAAGGGTCTTTTGAAACCAATTCCTAATGAACATATTTTCTAAATGCACAGAAAAACCTGTGAATGCATTTATGTCGCACAAACACCAGATATAATATGTTCCGATGCTACACAACAAAGTTAAACGTATTGAAAGAGAACTTGTTTATTCTGGATATTCGATGCAGAAAAAGAAATAAAACCTGGTGAAGTATCATCAATTAGCTTTAGTAAATGAGTACGAGAGAATTAAGTGACATCACCATACTGTTTTACTTCCCTCCCTGCACAATGACATGATTAACGTGTAGCCGATAACAAACTGCTATCTAAAGGTCATGACTTTGGTGAGGATACGCTCTTAGGTATCATCAGATATGTGACCTTGGAACTGAACCTTAAACATCTTCACTGTAGCAGAATGAATATTTGCACTGTTCAGAGAACAAAACTTCCAGTTTAGATCCCAAACTTTAGCTTGGATGTTGAAGTCTGCTCGTGCTCAGGCGACTTTAATATCCCTGTGGCTGAATGACACGTCCACAGATAAAAAATGGCAGCCGGTGTCCAGCGGTGCCTGATACTATCCGTCATTAGGAGGCAACATGACACACAATTTCATCTGGTTTAAAATACGTTCATGCATCAGATCAAATTCAGAGGAGCAGATAAACATACCAAGTCATCAGGGAGATTTTAAATTAAAATAACTCTTATTTAAATAGGAGGTGCAATCTTTTGACCTGATGTTGAACTGACACTGTAAATTCAGCTTACTGTAATGTTTTTAATTTCCGTGATCAGTAGTGGTTTCTTCTAAGCACTCCTTTTAGCCCTGTCAAGAAACTATGGTTTCTCTTTTCATTGTTTCTATGAAAGAAAAGTGTTGAAACATCTTGGTATTGATTTGGTTTCCTGTGCAGTCAGCACAGTCTTGCCTCCTCACTGACTGTGCTTGTAGTCACGATGAGTAATATCTACACTGCCCCATGCTTAACTATCCCCAACATATCCGTCTCACCTGCCCTGGTGTCATCGTTGTCCAGCAGGGGGATGTAGTCTGTCTTTCCTACCGTCTCCCCGACCTGATCGTCGTAGTTTTCTGCCTCCAGCTGGGCCACAAAGTCCCGCTCCACCAGGTTCTCCACCTGCCCCGTCTGAGGAGCATCTGCCAGCGCGTCACTTAGACTCAGGTCTAACTCCGCCATGACTGCACAAAAACACAGAGAGAGAAGGGAGAGTCACATGATGAGTGGTGATGTCAAATGAAACAACAAGAAAATAAAGAAAAAGCTAGCAAATGGTACAATATAGTATATACTGTTCATCTTTTAGAGGGGGGACTACTTTTGAAGAAATACAAAAAATATATGCTGTACACAGACCATGAGGGTAATTTCAAAGATTCCGAAATGGTTATACACAATTGTATAATGTATAACCTGTAATCACGTGGACTCAAAAGTGTTAAGAAGACTGGAAAACATGTTCAGGAGTCATTGTGCTTCTCTTCAGCTCAACAATAGTTAAGAGAAGCTGTTGTTGAATTGGACCATATGATATAATCCAGATGAAATAATTACATCAGAAAAGCACAATTTGTTCAGTTTAATGCGGTTTTGGTTTTCAATTGGTGGTTTTTAACTTAATTTACTGAAACAGTAGAGAGTGCTCCATTTCTGGGAAATTATCACTTTGAAATAATGGGAAACCACAACTCCTAACTCCTATAAATTGAATTAGAGTTACAAAAATGAAAACTGCAAGTGAAACAATGGCTTTGTGAAAACTGCAGATTAAAATGAAAAAAAATTAAATAAAAGGAAGAGAAGCAGAATAGAGAAAGATGGAAGTGAAGAGGAGAAGTGGTGAAAAGAAGCAAGAGGTCACACGGTGACAACAGAAGCCCGAAAATAAAGCCTTCCTCATTGTTTATCGACAATGATGAGCAAAATGACTAAATGTATTTATTTCTGTGATTAGGGGGGAATCTGGTATGACCATAAATGAATGTTAAGCACTAACAAGACCTTGATCCAAACAATGTGATGTGGGGTTCATCCTGCTGAGGTGCCCCTGAGCAACACACTGAGCTGCTAGGCCTGGGCTTGACATATCTGGAGAGCAGCTACACAAAGCACAGGGATGAAAACCTTAACATAATACCACTGTCTACCACAGGGAGGCACAGTTTCAGTTGGGATTACACAGCATAAAACTATGCATGTACAACACAGAGGAAGAAATCTGGACCTGAACATGGACTCATGGACTCAGTGACACAAAGAGACCGTCATCCAAGCAGTCACCAGCTCATCCGGGAGTTCAGCTGACCAACGGCCACCAGGGGAATTTGCAGAGTCGTGATGTGTCATCCTCCAATTATAATGCCAGATTATCTGCGGTGCCAGCAGCAGGAGGAGGAGGAGGAGGAGCAGGAGGAGCCAGCCTCTCTCTGCTCCCCAGACAACCTCTGTGTCATCAACCCTCCTTAAATCAAAAACACTACAACCGACATCTCTGTCATGTAGAAACCATCTCTGCCGTCTTGGATGAACATCCTGTTCTCGCACTGTTGAAGCAGCCGGTCGTGATCTATCACGAGACGTGTATTGTTAGCTCCTCTTTATCTGTCAACAACATTTATATCCACTCATAAATATGAATGATCATTCTTTCCTAAACTGCAGCCACATGACAAATCAGAGGAGGAAAATGTTTTCACTGAAAGTACATCTAACACATTTTACTAGACAATCATTTTTAGTTTTGAGACTGAAATCATTATCTTAATAAATATATCGAGACTCGTTGCAATCTTCAAACGGAAGAGGTCGAAACTCAAATACAACTCCACAGCCCCATCTGCTGGATTGTCCATTCCCTGACTTAAAAGAGATCAGGTACAGGTATACTTCCAAAAATGAAGATATTGTTTTCCCAGTTTGGTGGAATAAAACTGGTTTTCTCAGAGGACTGACATCAGCCCCAACCAGATCCTTTCAGGATGAATTGCAATTGTGAGACAGGCTTTATCATCCAGAATCTGCGGTCCTGACTGTGGATGTCTGGAAGCTGCGTCACTTTTCTTCCCTCACCCCAACCAGTAGATGCCCATCTCTCCATTGAAGGGCAGATTTTTTTCCCTCTAAAGTCATAGAGTGCTTGCTTGTTATGGGTTTCTCTATCACATCTCAACCGTACTTAAGTGTCTTGACATAATTTATGTTGTAATTTGGCAAAACACAAATATAATATAATTAGTTTTGAATTGTTCTGCTGACATTTTGTTGTATAGGATATTGAATAGAACATATAGCACAAAGAATCCAGGTCCAGGCCTTTATTTCAATGGGCTTGAACAATTAAAATATTATTATTATTATTTTAATGACAGCCAGTCAGTCATCTATTTAATCAGGTTTTACAAGCATGTCTTTCTGAGACATATAAATCAATATAAACGATACGTTTGTGTGCTCATTACATGTCTGGTTGCCAGTGTATCAGCAGCAGTAAGTGAGTCCCCAGTGCTGAGACCTTGCAGGGTGTGTCGCAGGAAGGCTGTTGCCTTTACCACAAAACCATGGTGGTCAGAAACACTGCTCTAGTTTCCCGATTTAACCCCACATCATCTGCGTGTGTGTGTTTAGCTGTACGTCATGTGTGCCGGCAGCAGTTAGCCGAGTGATCCATGCCACCCATACCAAGCAAGAAAACACAGAATGAAAACAATAGCAATCATTTTAATGGCTGAAAAGACGGTCTAGTTTAGCATGTTCCTTTTTGGGTGTTTCAGCTTCTGTTTCTACAGTGGTTTTTCCCCACATGACCACAGGAGCAGAAGCTTTTCATTAGTCTTGTCCGACAGCGGGCTGGATTTGGGTTGAGATCCTAAAATCCTAAATTCAAGGATCTTTAGACCCTGTGAGGGGCCTCAATTTAAGCTCAGCTCCTGTTTTCCACCCTCGGCTCGTGATTGTGGTGCGGCCAGTCAAATGTAATCTGGATTCAACAAAGGAAGGAAATCCACGGAAATGGCAGTTTCTATTGTGTAGTCTGCTAACAAATGTTCCAGTGTATGTGTGGATTAGTTGTGCATTTATGTTTGTGCTTTAAACCCATATGTGTCCGTGTGTGTGTGTGTCGGTGTGTGTGTGTGCTCACGGGCTGGTGGGTGGGTGTTCACTGCCTGCCAAAAAGCAGAGGTGAAGGTTAAGCCCCTTCTTAATCTGCTTCGACACAACACTTTTGTATGTAAACAAAAGGACAGAATGACGAGCAAACAAGGGAGTGATTGAACTGCACATAGAAGTCAAGTTACCTGATCACAAGGCATGAAGGGATTAACAACAAGGGCCGAAAAGTTTGACAACAAATACAAAAAAAAGGGTCTTTGTTGCAGTTATATGCAGTTTTCTTAAATGTATTATACAAGCCTGTTTTTGTACCATAATTACACTAGACTATTATCACAAACCTATCCTGTGCAAAATAAAATACTGTGGTAGCATGGCTGAGGTCCTTGCATGGCTGCTTTTCTAAGAAGAGCCAAACAGAAAAAAAGTCCCTCAGTCAACTTTTTATATAAAAACATTTTGTGGTACACAAAACATTACTCAGTGATATTAACATGTAATCCTGAAATTCAAAAGTATTATCAAAAACAGCAATTTGTCAGTGATCGTAGTAATAATAAACTATAAATCAACACAGACTGTATGGATGACGCATCCAAACGATACAGAAGTTAAGCCAAAATATCTTGGATGCAAAAGCTCTCATTAATGTTTATGCTTGGAAGTAAATCATATGAATCAATTCAGAGCTTTTAATGTCTCATTAAGATGTTATTAGGACATTTTAACATCTCTGCTCCCCACTGTCCACACTCAGTAACTGCTTCTGCTTCCAATCTATGCCGTAGCTCCGGTGTAGCCTACACGTAAACATGTACTCTATGTCGTACCCTGACGTGCACCTCCCCAAAATTGGAACTATGCCGCGACAACTCGAGGCGAAGCAGACCACAAGAGCTGTCATTGGTTCGCTTGGTAGCATTGCATTTCTGGCAATATTTCCAGAATCTCCTGCTTTGCCTCACTTAGTTTAATGATCGTACAGACCATCTCCTCCGATGTCTTTCTTTTCTTCGCTGTAGTTCTTTTTTTGCTCATCAACACAGCTCCAACTCCAAAATATGTGAACAAGCCGACTGGAAACTGGAAGAAACTCAACACAGTGGCATAGAAACTCTATGGCATCTAGCATTCCGGCTCCATGCCCACTAGCGTTTCGGCAGTGTAATTGGAGAGCTATGCACACACACCTACACACAATGCTCACAACGGCGGCGTTGGCCCTGTGCGTAGCTACGGTGTAGCTTTGATTCAGAACCATGAACAGGTAGCTACTTGTGCGAGCTATATGAGGTCAACCAGAACGTTTAAGTAGAAGAATGAAAATAGATGTCTCTCTCTAATGTAATCTACAGTCACTATCCAATAATACAAGTTGGAGTTTGTAAAGACACTGTTAGTTCAGTACTCATGAGTCAGACCAAACCTATTTTCCAACAGGGCCCTCAATTACATATACTATAAGGTTTTGTGACTGCACTCAAAACTGCAATTGTGGCCACATGTTGTCAAGGATGGGAAACAATTGTGTAACTGTTGTTCATAACTTGTTAAGGGCTCCAAGGTGCAACATCCAACAAGCTTCTGCACAAACCGGTGAAAATTAGCGTGTGAATGTGAAATATTATCCGGGCACAGCGGTGACACTGAGTGCAGACACTGATGTTGGAAAAGATACACAGGCTCACTATAAGTTCCAATGGTTATAATCATTAACAAGTCGGTGACGAAAGTATTCAGCTGCAGCTTCTCAGTTGATTCTGAGCGACGGTGTTAAAGTAACAAACGCTGCTGGCAGTTCCTCATATCAGCTGTCACTAATTAAACTTGGCTGCTGTCGGTTTCTGTGCTCTCTGTACACCATTGTCTGCACGGGTCAAAGATAGTTTACGATGGACGTTATTGAACCATGACCTTCGGTACTTGGCTCAAGAAGCTCAAAACTATGGTTTATGAAATCAAGACATCCCCTGTGTTATTTGACTATGTCAGATACTTTGTCATCCCTATATAAATGGCACAACCATAATTAATGGATCAGTAGATATAAGTGTATATTTAAACCGCAA